GTTTGACCTGTGGTCAGATGGTCACCTGACCTATTATGATGACCAGACTCGGCAGAGTGTAGAGGATAAGGCACACATGCCAGTGGACTGCATCAACCTCCGCATGGGACACGAGTGTCAGGATATTCAGCCTCCAGGTGGGAAGGCAAAAGACTGCCGCAGATTGTTTGCCGAGATGGGAAAACCATCAGTCTTTGTGCAGAAAGCACAGATGATTGTTTGGCCTGGAAATTTACACTTCAGGATTCCAGGACAAACACAGCTCATGTTGGCTCTGAAGTCATGTATGATGAGACTGCCATGGCTTCCTCCCCACCTCCTTACACCGCCTATACTGCACCGACCCCTGAGCAGGCATATGGCTATGGTCCATACAGTGGTGCATACCTGCCAGGAGCTCAAGTTCTCTGTGCTGCAAATGGGCAGGCTTATGCTGTACCCTATCAGTACCCATATGCAGCACTTTATGGACAGCAGCCTGCCAACCAAGTCATCATTCGTGAGCGGTATTGAGACAATGACAGTGACCTGGCGCTGGGCATGCTGGCTGCAGCAGCCACAGGCATGGCCTTAGGGTCTCTGTTCTGGGTCTTCTAGAGTCCTTGGAACCTGGATGTGCATAGCTTCTGATACCCTGTGTGCAATAATATACTTTGCAGGGCATTTCTGTTTGTTATAAATGTTTTTAATAGTAGTTTTAGTAGTTCTTTTGAAAGTAGTGACGTCATACTTATAACTAATCCATATAAGTACCACAGAGAAGGCTTTGGACTGCTGTTTAGCTAAAACGTGGACTATTTGGGGGCACTGGCTCATTCTTGGAGTTTTTTATGGGACTCTCAGACTACCTTATTTGAACACACCTGTTTGGAAAGGCCATTTTCCTTTTAGAGTTAGGCCTTAGTGTTTAAGGGATAGTTTATTTTAGTATTACACTAGTAACATGGTGATGTATGAGTGAGTGAGTGATTAGGGCAAGAAGAACTGCAGCTGTTTTGTTATAATGCCAGACTTTGAAACCTCAGACCAGAACTGGCTGCACATTACTTCAGGAGTTGTAGGCTGGAACCTTCCTGAGGCAGTGGTGTGATATGCCCACAGCCTCTGGGGCTCTGCGGGCTTCCAGCAAAGCTGACTGCTCAGGATGATGGGCGGGATGGCAGATCCCCCCCCTTTAAAATGATGCCTTTTCATTTTATTTTTACTAGTTTGTTTTTGGTAGCGATCCTTGGAAAACATCTCAAATTAGGAGTAGACTTGAGTCTCAGCGTTTTAGGGCTTTATCATTTAAAACTTGAACAAGGCAAAACAATTACAAACAAGTGTGTGGAGGTAGATTTGCTTTATTCAGAGGCATCATGTTTTTCGTATTTACTTTGACTATTTTTATTGCCACTTCAGCCTACTTAGAGCTTATTTTTCTACTTGTTGAGAAAGTAATATTAAGAGAATGGTGAGGAAAGTAGAATGAGAGCCATAGTTACAGTGCTGTTTCAGGGGATTGGGCTGCATTGAGGATCCTCTTTTCCACCCTCTGAAGGCTGTTAAAGAGCCCGTTTCCTGTCCTGTGCAGGACTGGGGCTCTGTGGCTGTCCCCGAGCACTGGGGTGCGTGCAGCCCCCATGGTGGCATGGTTGGGGAGACTCAGGTTACAGATGGGAATTGCGGCCTAAGGACATGAATAACCTGCTCAAGGTATTACTCTACCTGATCAGGACACCGGCCTTGTTTTTATTCTTGACTCAAATGTTCCAGAGAAGCTTAAACCATTTAATTTGAGCCCCAACTATGTGTGAAGCTCTGGAAAACTGAGAGTCGTGCATTTCTGTTATTTCTTTATGTAAATTTTAAAACTTCAATTATTCCAGTTTTCTGCCCTGCATGCTTTAAAAAATGTACTTTTACAAAGGCAGTTTAGCACATTGAAGGTCTCTGCCCCTATATTCATTCCATGTGACCCTATTTTCCATAAAATACACTCCTAGTAGCACAAATTCTGTTTGTATTCTATGTGGCCAGTTACATACATAGTCTTTTGTTCCACTGATCAATGCACTCCACCTCTAAGGCAGACTTAAATAGATCTATCTCCGTATGAAACCAGATGCCAAATGAACTTTGTGGTGACCACAGGTCTGTTTTCCTAGTCAATTCTGTTGCACTTGTTGACTCTGGAGAGTCTGTTTCCACCTGAAAAGAAGTATACTTGGCTGTCATCTCTTTGGATGTTTGACATGGTGGAAAGTTGCCAGATGTGATGTGTGACAACACTGGTTTTGATGGTTAAAAATGTTACTTTAGTTATTTTACATCGTATGCAATAAGAATGGTTTTGTTCAGATAGTAATCATTATTTGAGCTGTATGCTTTACTTACAAAACACTAAACTCAGTTTTTAATGTTACATCAGGGTATTAATTTTGAATTTGGAGTTACTGGAACCACAGATACTGAGTTATGTCAGTGAAATGCCCTTGAAGCAGATGGTCTCCCTGTGTTCCCCTGGCTTCCCTCTGTCAGAAGGGGGAGAGCTATGGACTGAAGCTTGGGCACACGTATTCCCCAACATCTCCAGTCCCTGTCCCCAGTGGGGCCAGCCCCACTGGGCAACTATAGTTGAGTCTGGAAGTTCAGTGTCACTAGTGACTTGATCCTGAGAGGAAATGCATACTCTGTATAAAGATGGGCTGAGATACTTGATTTCCCTGGCCCCAACTCTTGTAGATGCCAACAATTAGGTAATCCTAAATCAAGAAGTTAGGTGAGTTGGAAGGAACTTGTTCAGGTTTAGTCAGTATTTTACTTCCATGTGTACTTTTAACTAGTTGGCCTTTGACATTGCACACATGCCAGTCTGCTTGTTTCTTAGCTCTGTTCTTTTAATTCCTTGAGTTAACTTCAGCGTCTTAGATGTAAAGAGAAGGGAGAGACCCGTGATTGTGTTTCAGATCATCATTCATGAAACGGGCCAGACCGGGACCCAAGATCTGGATCATGGGAGAAGTTCCTGTCATTGAGACAAAATGACCCACATTTATTTTCTGCATTAATTGTGCTACTGTGTGATCTATCTTTCTGCTTCCCAAGTTTATGTAGACACCAGCATGGGATGCAGTTCCATTTTTTTCCCCCAGGTTGATCTTTTTTTCTGATTGCTTGCCTGTCTCTAGTATTCTGTTGTGTCCTCAGAACCTATTTTTCCCTGTATATGCAAATTGTATGTTTATAAGTGAAAATGTTAATACATTAAATAATTGCTAACCTTAAAAAAAAATTCAAGGTAGAGAATGAAAGATGAGAACAGAGAGGCAGCTGGGAGTCAGGATACAGAAAGCCTCCTGTGCTGTATGAATCACTCGGACTTTATCATAACCAGGAAAGAAAGTTGAGCAGGAGAACGTCCTCGTCAGACATGCGTGTAAATGTAGCTCACTCTGGGGATGGTGTGGAAGACGAATTGGAGAGAATCAAGACTGAAGACAGGGAGTTCCACTGGAAGGATGATACAGAAGTAAGACTCTAGACCTGGGCAAAAGTGAGCCATAGGAAGCTAAATAGGGAAAACAAGATGAGTCAACATCGTATAATGGAAGGGAGCTTTGGGGTGGCATCAAGAGATCTGTGTTCCAGTCCCAAATCTGCCATTAATATTCCCCTCTTTGGACCTCAGTTTTCCCATGTGTAAAATGAAGGAATCCTCCCTGTGGATTACTATTGCTCCATAGTACAATTCTATTGATTACTATTGTTTCATATTACTATTACTATTGCATTGAACATCGAGTGTGTATGTTGGGAGGACTACCTGTGGATCAGTCCTTGGAAAAATGGGGAAAGAGGCAATGTTGGCCTTTAGCTTTATCATGAAAATTACAAATATCAAGCATCAGGACAGGCTGTGTTGGGGAGGTGAGGGACTCCCTGCTAATGGGACCTATAGCAAAGGCTCTGTATTTGACAAAGAATATCAAGGGCATTATGTGCTGGCCTAACTGTTAGCATTTCTCCTAGTTATAATAACAGCATTGATAGAGTGCTAAGGATATGCTAGGCAAAGTTCTAGGCATTTTATGTGCATTATTTCATTCAATCTTCATTATAGTCCTATAAGGTAGGTACCATTCTTATTCATATTTTGTAGATGAGAAAACTAAGATCCAGAGAGAGTAAGTAATTCTATGTAGTAAGAGGCAGAAATGGGATTCAAACTCAGGCATTCTACAGAGTCCCTATTCTTTAACAAAGAATATGCCTTTCATATCAGATAGCCATCACAGCTAACGTTTCCCTTATGTGTTCTGACTGAGCCACTAAAAAAAGTATACATGTAATACCTCCTTCAGAGGGGTGTGGCCTAGACAGAGCATAGAAATTAAGAGTCAAATAGGGTGAGATTTGTCACCTGCACCTATCAATTTCTGTCTCTGTGACTTGGGAAATTTACTTTCCCTCTCTGATCATCAGTGTTCTTGTCTGCCAAAGGGACAGTAATAGTAGCATTTCTTACAGGGTCATTATGAAGATTAAATTTTTGAATGTTTACAAAGCTCCTAGAATAGTCCACGTCCTACAGTGGCACTACCACCATCATCATCATCATTGTCATATTTATTAATAAGGGACCGGCCTGACTCGGGGAAGTTATAAGGTTGAGTTCAGAGCAAGAAGACCTAAAAACCGTTTCTTAAGAATGTTCTGCATTCCAAGTGGCCAACAGTAAGTTGCACATAGCAAATGCACTTGGGCAACCCATCCTGGTTACAAATCCAAGCTTTCTGCTACCCCTGCTCTTCTTCTTAAGCAGCAAATATAGGGGTAAAGATGTACTAGAACACTATGTTCTTAAAAGTTTGTGTCGTTTTTTTAAATAACGGCTTATTGAACTAAAGAAAAAAAAAGTTCCCTTTCCTTTTTGTTTCTTTGTTCCGATACGGTTGTTTTTAAGTCTTCCCTCCTTTAACTTTTTCCCATTGGTTTTTGTTGCTTTGTTTTGTTTTCAGATTCCGCTTCTCTTTCCCAGAATCCATTCGCAGCAATATTGAGGTAGGAATCAGAGCTCTCAGAGTCCCCATACAGGGGAAAATGAGAATTTTCCTATATAGTAACTGGATGATTGTTTTCTTTGCCTCAGATTGTAGGTTTTAACTTTAAAATTCTTTATGTAGCTACTCACCCACCAAGCCTGTTAACTATTAAACTCTCCAATTTACTTTTATCTATTCAAAAAGACTTTCAAAAGAACTCAAAAGACCTTTAAGACTGTGTAATATTGGGGAGAAGAACCCAGACATTTCATTTTTTGGATAAAATAATCCTCTAGAGTTAAATTTAAGATTCAGACTACCAAAGGATGATGTATAATTATTAGGCTATGATTAGGTTTGCTCTTCAAAGGATATCTACTCATCTCCTAAAATTAGGTCAAGGTGCCTAATTTTAGGAGGTTGTGTAGGTGCCTCTTAGGAGGTTCTAGCCTGGTGACCTCCTGGAAGAGGTCATCCCAACATTCGACTTGGAAACCCCCCTCCCCAAGCTCCAGGAAGATCAGCCAGATCACTAATTGGTGTCCCTACCCTCATGCCGCTTATGTTCTAGAGCACTGGTTCTCAACGAGGGTCAATTTTCCCCTCCACGGGCGTTTGGCAGTGTTTGTAGACATCTCTGAAAAATGACAATGGTATATACTGGGCATTTTACATAATATTAACTTGTTTAATCCTGATAACAACCCTCTGAGATTAGTACTATTATCTTCATTTTACAGTTGAGGAAATTGAGGCACAGAGAGATGTTTCCCAACATCACACAGTAAAGTGGTAAAAACAAGAGATAAACCTAGGACATCTGCTTCAGAGGCACCTGTGCTAAGCTTCAAAGAGGTCCTTATTATTGCTAAGCATATAGGATGCTTAAAACATATTCACTGAATGAACTGATGTTCATCATAGTGCATTTGTTTTTAATATCTAAATCTTCCCAGGGACCAGCAGTTTACTAAGATTATACAACTACCATAGTTTATTAAAGATAAATTGCATGTGCTGGTGGTGCTATTAGCTATAGAGCATAATATAATACAAGGAAACTCCTGTGGCCAGGGTTCCCAATAAATTAATGGAAGACTACTAATTGGAATATCTATTAGTCATTCAAGATTATCTTACCTGATAAGTATCTAAGCTGTTATGTTTGCTGCCACCGTGTGGTCCCTCTGCATTTGTTGTCACCATGATCTACTGTAGAGAGGAACTGAAATGTCCATCCTCAAAGAGGAAAAAAGATTAGGAAACCCTGTAAAATGGCTTCCCACAAAATAGCTTTCAGTGTCTGGAAAGCTAGAATATCTCTATGGGGAGATGCTAATTATTGCTTTCAGTTCTGATAATGTCTGGGAGAGTACATGTCCAAACCAGGTATGGTGCTTTCAAAATGCTCTGATTTGGCAACTGATTCAGTTTCCCCTTTCATTTTAGGTCTTGAGGTTTGAGAATATTCTGTCTTCCATTCTCCACTTCGGAGTCCTCCCACTGGCCAACGGTAAGGGATTCTTGGGAAACAATGTGATACTGACATTGGCTAAGTGTTGGGTATTGTCTGGGACAAGTTCCAGGTCCAGGCCTTGTTAGCAACTCTACTTGCAGACTCAGCAAGAACGGCTAACTCTGCTTGAGTTAAGGAGATTAAAACCACTCTCCTTAGGCAGTCAAGAGTCTCCTTCAGGTCAACCAGAAATGAGATGATGATCCTAGAAGGTGTCTCTGTGGTTCTTATGCAAAGACCACCATCTGGACAGACACAGTTTTAATGAATGAATCCTAGGCCTTCTCCCTACACTGCAATTGTTCACAAACTGTAGCATCTTGAGTTTGGCTTGGTTAAAATATGCTTTGTACTGGAGATCAAAATATTCTCAGGACCCACTAGTTAAGGTATTTTCAAAATACAAGTTGGACAAGTTGCCAGCATTTTTCTGCCATCCAAATGCCCATAGTTGCAGGTGCATTTTTATTAAGCACAGATTAATTAACCATTCTTTCAGGGAAATGCTGGGGACATATCAGAGAGAATGAAGACACAGAACCAGGAAGAATGGAAAGATAAATTATCAAAAAGTTTCTTGTTAGTCTCTTACTAAAAGGTTTACTAAATCTTCCATGCCCGTGCCCAATTATTTTACATCTTGTTCTATATTTTAGCAAAATTGCAGCAAGGATTTCCTCTGCCCAATCCACACAAAATCTCACTCGTCAATTCAAATATTGAAGTTCTTGAGGTAAGAATTGTCAATGTTAATTACCCCATTTCTTTTCATAGTAGAATATACCTCTTCCTATTTTGCTTACTTTTTGTTTTATTTTGTTTTGCTTTGTTTTTTCCCAGCCCGAGGAATTTCATAAATAAGATGTTTAACTCTTAAAGCCCATAATTAACAATGAAAAGCACTTAAACTTGAGTTTAAAAATCAGATCAAAGTGGAAAAAAACCCCATCAGACCAAGTCTGATTTCCCTTTGAAGCCAAGTTTATTCACACCACACTACAAGAAGATGCACTAGTGCACTGTATTTCATTTGTTCCACAAGACAACTTGTAAGGCTGGGATTATTAATCCCATTTTATAGATGAGGAAAGTAAGATCCAGAGAGGTGAAGTGGCTTGTGTCCTGGAAAAGGGCATATCTGAGACTAGACTGACTCTTCTGATTCTCTCAGTCAGTAAACTTTTGCCTGAACCAAGACCCTCCTCTGAGTTCAGGGATCTGTTGTGAGCTGTTTCCTGGTTAATCATTATTAACAAACTTCAGAATACCTTGTTTCTTCCTTTCTGGGGCTTTTTGGTTTGGGGAGATGAACATAAGATTCTGACAGAGTTCTCCAATCCTCTATACTACCCTGCACTCCCTCTTCCCTCCCCATGTCCCTTTCTATAACTGCTTAAGTCACATAAGGTGACAAGAATCCAAAATGGCCTGTTCCTATGTCTGAGGCACTCACAAGGGGGACAGGGGTTGGGAAGGGTATTGCACAGTAGGACTTGGTAAAGAAACCACGTCTCCCCAACCCCTCAGGCAAACTCAGACATCCTATGGCTCCAGGTGCCCCAAGTTTGATATCATCTTCATTGTTGCATCCTTTTCAGGGTTTCCTTTTGATTTCCACTGACCTGAAGTATAAAACGTCCTTAAAACAGCAGCCAAGTTTCCATGGTTGGGAAGCTCTGAACCTGATAAGTGGACAGTGGAGGGTGAAGCCAGCCCCTTGATTGCCTGTTTGGAGTCCACTCCAGGAAGTAAATGGCCCTTAATCCCACAGCTCCTGTAAACCCAGAGCAGGAAGATGGTACACACAGGAATTGTAAAGCCATTGCGAATTGCTGGAAGTTTTCTTTTTCAAGCCCTCATGGATGTAGAGGGAGGCAAACTGGGTGAAAGAGCTCAGTCGGGATGTGTGTGTTCCCATGTGTGTGGAGGGGTATATGTTTGAATGTGTGTTCATGTTTGAGTGCGTGTTGTGTGTTCCTGTGTCTATGAGATTCTGGGGCCAAGAGTGAGGCATGTACTTCTAAGGAGGTGCATGAGAAACTCTCAAATACAGATTTGCATCAGTTGTTATCAGCGGAGATCCCTTCAACCCCTTCAGCTCTCTAGGGTTCCCCCATCCCTGCATATTGGATTTTATGTTTTATATTTACTGTTACTGTCCCCTGTATTTAATTAAAATTGTTTGCTATCAATGTCAATTTTGCCTTTTTATCTGCAAATTTTCTTGCCCCAGATTTTTTTTTTAATAAAATAAGACTGGTAAGAAGAAAATTTAGTGTCCTTAACGTTAACACAAACTGAGCTTGTACAGAATTCAAGAATTTCAAGAATTTTAAATCCTTGATTTAAAAAGGGAATATGTTGTCTCTTTAGATGTTTCCAGAGAGAAACAGAGTGAACACAGGAAACTCTAGAAGTTGTATCACTTGTTTAAGTTTTAGGCTGTTTTCCCTTTCAAATTAAATGAAATGGCAGTGAAGAGTACTAAACCTAGATAAATCACAGTAGGTTAAGTTAAAGCAACCAATCAATGGGGCGAAATTGGGGCAGAAGATGGAGGAAAGGGGAACCCGTATGGATAATGTAGGAAATGAATAGAAACCACACTTTGCATTTGTGGTGCTGACAATCCAGTGGGGGAATGGAAGAGAGCTGTTTACTGGAGGGCTTACCAAGTGTCATTTCATTTAATCCTCACAGCCACTCTGTGAAGAATTATGATCCCATTTTATAGATAAGGAAACAAAGGTTAAAAGAGATGAATCACACAAAGCCAGTAAACAGCAGAGGTAAAAATTCAATCGAAGCATTTCTGATTTCAAAGTCGCTGTTCTTTACATGAGGTAGGATTAGAAGCCGAAGGCACTTAAAGCTCACTTATTACTGTGAAGAAGCGACACTGGATAAAAGCACAATCACAGAGCACTTAGTCATCACAGAAGGCTGCACTGGGAAGCTCTGGCTATCCATAGGGAACTGCCATTTACTCATCTTCGTATTGCTCATAAAATAGCAATAGATGCCCCCGTAATAGATGCCCCTGTCAGTGTTGTTGGGATAAATGATAAACTGTCACGTTTCATTCTTTGGAATGCCCTTTTCTGAAAGAAGAGTTATTTAATGTGTTCACAAATTCGTTCTGAAACATTACAAAATTTCCGTTGTGGTATTTATTTAAACATGTTTCTCTTTCTCGGCTGCAGACATTTCTTCCCCCTCACTACTAGGGATGTAAACTCCAAGCAGATGGATTCTTTAGAACAACTGGACCTGATCCCGATTCAGTGTGTTTTTCAGGGCTGGAAAACACTTCCAAAACGAAGGATAACGAGATCATACTAAAAACTACTGTACTGCATTTAGCTTAGCTTTAGCCTAGAGGAAAATGACTAGTTAACATCCCAAAAGGTAAACGCTAGAGGACAGTCTAACTTAAAAAAAAAAAAAAAAAAAAAAAAAAAAAAAAAATTTGGGG